ACTATCGTACAACGGAAAATGACGGAAAGAATTTCTGGATGACCCCTAAGAGGGTCGACTATTTAATCAGCAGAGTGAAACTCGCGGTCTCTCGCGCCCGCGTGCATTTTCCTTATTCCAGCTCTTTCCACCGGCGCCGCCTTGATCTTGTTAAAGAAGCGCCGCGCTCCCGACGATTCCGCCGCGCCGAGGAGGAAACACACCTCTCCCGTGTTGTTGGCCTCGATTGCTCCGGCACGCTGCATGCACCGCATACTCCGCACATACAGCCCCCCTCCCCCTCCCTCCCCCTAACAGTGTTGGCTTGGCTTGCGTCCGCTCCAAACCAAACTGCACATCCGCACCGTCGAAGAGCAATCCCCCTCTCTCCCCGCCCCTCCGGACCCGGCCAGCGAGCGGAACGGAGCTGGCGAACCCGAAATTGCATCGCTCAACCGGGCGCTGCTCCCCTTTCTATTCCCGACCACTTTGCGTGGTCGAATATATAGCCGCCACTTTGAGATGACGCAAACATTTCCCAGGAAAGGCGGCAATGCAGCACAATCATATCGGTAATTATATCGACATTATGAGAATAAGTAGTCTTCTGAGCAGTGTATAGTTGACAGGCACCCGTTGGAAGTTAATGCAGCAGCAGCAAATTTCATCTTATAACGCAAGTCACGAGATATGTATCGAAAATATGCAGTTGTAGTTCTGAGCCTGCAGGCATGGAGCGATGTGTTGTGCTGTATACTGCACGACGGGATGGCAGGTCGGGCACACCTAGCATCGGCACGAGCGTCGGCACGAGCATCGCCAAGAATGTCGGCACAAGCATCGCCAAGAGTGTCGGGACGAGACGAGCATCGACACAAGCATCGCCAAGAGCATCCGCCTGCCGTGCAGCCACCGCCCGCCCGGTGCGCATCAGTCAATGCGGTGGGGGGGCCACAGCTCGCACAACCACCGCGCAGCCAGAGAGGAGCGAGGAGCAGAGGAGACCCACTAACCCAATCATGGCGGCAGAGTGGCGCCGGGATGGAGAGTATCGACTTGCGCCGGCATTGCCACCGTCACAGCAGCGGCAGCAGCAGCAGCAGCAGCAGCAGCAGCAGCAGCAGCAGCAGCAGACGGGAGAAACGGGAGCAAGGGTGGCGGCATAGGGGGAAAGCCAGGAGGGCCCAAGAAGGGCGCGGCTCGCCTGGAGGAAAACATGGAGAAACATGCCCGCCATGGGGGAGCTGGGGAGGCCCGCGGGGCGCACGGTGAGCAGGCGCACCGTGTTGACATCGTGTGTAGCTTTGAGGCCTACCGAGCAAACACGCGACAGCCAGAGAGCGCGGCGGCACGCACAACAGGGTTAGGGGGGCGCGGCGAGCAGCCAAAGAGCGCGACACGACGCACAACAGGGTTACGGGGCGCGGCGAGCGGCCAAAGAGCGCGGAACGACGCACAACACGGTTACGGGGAGCGAGGAGCAGGTGCACGGCGAGCAGGTGCACGGCGAGCAGGTGCACGACAAGCAGGTGCACGACGAGCAGGTGCACGACGAGCAGGTGCACGGCGAGCAGCCAGAGAGTGCGGCACGCACAACAGGGTTAGGGGATGCGGCGAGCAGGTGCACGGTGAGCGGTGAGCAGGCACTCGGCGAGCAGGCGCATCGTGCTGACATCGTGTGTAGCTTTGAGGCCTGCCGAGCAAACACGAGGCAGCCAGAGAGCGCGGCACGCACAACAGGGTTAGGGGGGCGCGGCGGCGGCCGGGTGCGCGCGCGGGGGGTTGTTCCATCCATTTCACGCGCTGATGCACTTAACTGGCGCCAATTAATATCATTCCGGCGATTAAGCCCGGTAAATATCGCAATCAGGGCGCACGGGCGGTCTGAGGAGTAGGGGCGTGGTGGTGGCGGGGGCAGAGAGAGAGAGAACCACGGGAAAAGAGAAACGAGAGCGAGCGGCGCCTGTCTGGTGAGCGCGAGGCGTGGCGGGGCGTGGTGGGGGGTAGCGCCGGCCATAAAGTCCTGAAAGCAAGGCGCTGGCCAAGTCGACTGGACGCGCGACCGCACATAGGGGCGGGGAAGGGCGGGGCGGACATCCCGCGTGGTGGCCTTCCTCGGCTGAGCGACAGATGGACGTCGTAACGGGAGGGAACCGGGATTGGCGAGGTAAAAGTAAAAATGGATGGGGGGCAAAGGGGGGAGAGGTGTGCGTCGCACACGACGCGCTGCGGAGAGAAGGGCGGGGACGACCAAAGGAGAGGGGGTGAGGGAGAGGTGGGCTGATACGACTATAAACGTGGAGGGTTGTGGAAAGGGAAGAAAGAGAAGGAGGGGGGGGGGAGAGAAAGGGATGAGGAGGCAAAGGGGGAGAGGCCGGATATGATGCGAACACGTCGACCGGAAGTGCTGTGTTTGCAGGTAATTCGCGTGGAGGAGCAGCAGCAGCGCCAGCGCGCGGCATCGGCAATCTGCGCTGCGCCCTCTGGACACCACCACCACCCCGTGCACCCTCCTCCTTCCCCACGCCCTTGTGCAGGGACTGCTCTAGCAGCTCGGCCTGCCGCGAGGCGCAGCGGAGCGGCGTGGCGGTGCGTGCCCCCGGGGTGGCCCGGCACGTCGACTTGACAGGTCGATAGTGACGGCCACGTGCCACGGCCATAGCGCAGCGCCAACCCCGAGTGATTTGGGGCCACGGGGTCAAGGGGCTGGCGCGGGGCTGGAGCAGCGGGGAGCTGGCGCAAGGGAGACCGCACGAGTGCGACAAGCAGGGCACGACGCTGCAGCCGGGGCGCCGCCGCCGCGCCAGGGCGTCGCACCGGAGAGCATCCGCAGTGCAGCTAGGGCCGGAGCCAAACCGGAGCCACGGCGCGGCGGGGCGGGGCGCGGCGGAGCGCTGCGGGGAGGCCAGCACGCAGCCAGGGCCAGGGCGCGGGGCCAGCCAGCCGAGCCCCCATCCCTCCAGGCGCCCCTCAGGTCAAGCAGCAAATCATTTTCTTTGACCAAAGTGAAAGATATTTTGACCTACATTAAAGGTGGGAAACCCTTCGAACGCGGTGGGAAGAAAGGGGGGGGGGGATAATGAGATTTAAAGTGACCGACATTTGAAACAAGTGAGAATCGCTTCAGATTAAGGAGGTCATTCACCAAAGACAACTTCCCTACTTTAACACCTTAAAAAGAGCGTTTTTAACATGTACATTTCTTCCTCGAGCGTGCGGCACCTAGCGAGTCAAATGCGAGTTCTCGATATATCGGTATGTCTCGACTATTATTATGGGTTCAATAAGAAAAAAAAATCCGCTCAGTTATGTTACCACCAAGAGAAATGTGCTAGCTCAAAGATCAAACAACATCGGCGGGTAGGAATAACCTTTGCTGACGGTGTAACAACAAGACCATCGTGTGATGTGTGCGCTGAAAAACAGGTCGTGGCTGAAAACCACCCCACGGGATTTCATTAATTACACAGTAGCGCGCGCACGCACGCCGCACGCGTGTTGGTGGCTTGCCTATTCGCCCGGCCCTAAGGTGTCATTAGTGCCCTCCCGTCGTGTCCGCATGCCACTGCAAAAATTCAACAAGTTTTTTTTTTTCTTTTTTTTTTCCAGCTACCGTCATGGCATGTGGGATCTACATTTTATTCCCAACAAGGTAGAAGAATGGTCGGGAGGGGAAAAAAAGGTCAAATGTTACGCAACGCACGGTGGTATAGGTGCGGTGAGCAGAAGGCTGATTTAAGTCGCCTGGCCCATGTTTTTCTAAGCGAGGTGGCGTTCATTAATCTGCCCGCTCAGTCAGAGGGACGGGGCGCGGGGGGCGTATTCCAGGCCCGCTAGGGGAAGGTATCGCTGAGCACGTGACAAGCGCGGGACGTGACCCCCGCCCCCCCC